TGTTGAGCGGGTTTGTTACAGGTTGGTTGAGTTTAGAAACCAAAACTAGTTGCCCAGATTTTTGGCCTGTACGCTCGAGCGGAGGTGTTGGCGCTCGAGCGTAGATTACACCCATCCAGTATCTTGTTGTGCAGTGTTGTGAGCTCGAGCGTAGGGATTGGGAGCTCGAGCGGAGGCCTCCCCTAAAATTTCTGAAATAGCATCATTTCTTCATAATGCCAAGAACACATATGATCAAAGGAGGACAATTAATTAATTTGTAATTAATATATGATTATGAATGCTTCACAACATCAATAATGTACACCATCAAAAAAGTATTGATGTAAGTTTTCCTCTTGTATTTGGTTCTTAATCAATAAATATTTCTTTTGTTGATAAAAAAATAAAAATAATAATGTACACCATCAACAATTCCAAAGTTCATCCAAATATACACATTACCAACAAGTATCTATTAATACATATCAAATATTTTCCCTTTTGATCAATTAAAATTAAAATTCAATGTGGATCAGGCAATTATTGAAAGTAACAAATCTAGTCGATTCCCAATTGATTTAGTCAATTTTACTACTATAAAACTGTTTTTGCATATGATTATTTTTTAAAAAATCCACAATTTATTAAAAATGTTAATTTTTCCCTCACATTTAAAAAATTATATCCCATGCCTTGCGGTTTTTAATCATATAACAAATGGCCCCTCCCTTTTATATTTGTAGTTTTCAAAACGTGAGAATTTTTTTTAGAATCATTAACATGTAAAACAAGTAGGCAAGACAGGAAGAGTATGAGATACCTAAAAAAATAAGAAGTAGGCAAGATAGGAAGAATTTTTTTAAGAATCATTAACAAGTAAAAAAAATTTAACATAAAAAAATAAATGAAAAGATCATTAACAAGTAAAACAATTTCTTAGAATCATTGAAGTATATAAAATTCACTGGAAGATCTCAATAAATGTCCCATTTACTACCAATTTTATATATGCAAGATCCCATTACGTCGTTAGAATTAAATTTGGGAGTGATAATTTAGCATTTTAAATATTTTCTGTCATTAAAATTAAATTTTGGAGTGATGTTATAACGTTTCAAGCATTTTTCCTAATGATAGTATACTGTTAGCAAAATCAAATGCTCAATCAGTACATTTACAGGGTATTAAAGAGTTAGTTTATTTGGTGTTTGGTAGGCATTTACATGATAAGATTTGACATTATATATACACACACACACGTGGAAATAACAGGACTTGATAATATTTGTATTTTTCATTTCATTTCTAAAATAGCATCATTTCTTCATAATACCAAGAACACATATGATCAAAGGAGGACAATTAATTAATTTGTAATTAATATATGATTATGAATGCTTCACAACATCAATATTGTACACCATCAAAAAATATAGATGTAAGTTTTCCTCTTGTATTTGGTTCTTAATCAATAAATATTTCTTTTGTTGATAAAAAAAAAATAAAAATGTACACCATCAACAATTCCAAAGTTCATCCAAATACACACATTACCAGCATGTATCTGTTAATACATATCAAATATTTTCCCTTTTGAATTGTATTTGGTTCTTCATCAATAAATATTTCTTTTGTTGATAAAAAAAAAAATAAAAATGTACACCACCAACAATTCCAAAGTTCATCCAAATATACACATTACCAGCATGTATCTGTTAATACATATCAAATATTTTCCCTTTTGATCAATTAAAATTAAATTTCAATGTGGATAAGGCAATTATTGAAAGTAACAAATCTAGTCGATTCCCAATTGATATAGTCAATTTTACTGCTATAAAACTGTTTTTGCATATGATTATTTTTTAAAAAATCCACAATTTATTAAAAATGTTAATTTTTCCCTCACATTTAAAAAATTATATCCCATGCCTTGCGGTTTTTAATCATATAACAAATGGCCCCTACCTTTTATGTTTGTAATTTACAAAACGTGAGAATTTTTTTTAGAATCATTAACAAGTAAAACAAGTAGGCAAGATAGGAAGAGTATGAGACGTATTACCTAAAAAAATAACAAGTAGGCAAGATAGGAAGAATTTTTTTTTAGAATCATTAACAAGTAAAAAAAATTAAAATAAAAAAATAAATGAAAAGATCATTAACAAGTAAAACAATTTCTTAGAATCATTGAAGTATATAAAATTCACCGGAAGATCTCAATAAATGTCCCATTTACTACCAATTTTATATATGCAAGATCCCATTACGTCGTTAGAATTAAATTTGGGAGTGATAATTTAGCATTTTAAATATTTTCTGTCATTAAAATTAAATTTTGGAGTGATGTTATAACGTTTCAAGCATTTTTCCTAATGATAGTATACTGTTAGCAAAATCAAATACTCAATCAATACATTTACGGGGTATTAAAGGGTGAGTTTATTTGGTGTTTGGTAGGCATTCACATGATAAGATTTGACATTATATATACACACGTGGAAATAACAGGACTTGATAATATTTGTATTTTTCATTTCATTTCTAAAATAGCATCATTTCTTCATAATGCCAAGAACACATATGATCAAAGGAGGACAATTGATTAATTGATATTTAATATATGATTATGAATGCTTCACAACATCAATAATGTACACCATCAAAAAAGTATTGATGTAAGTTTTCCGCTTGTATTAGGTTCTTCATCAATAAATATTTCTTTTGTTGATAAAAAAAAAATAATATTGTACACCATCAACAATTCCAAAGTTCATCCAAATACACACATTACCAGCATGTATCTGTTAATACATATCAAATATTTTCCCTTTTGAACAATTGAAATTAAAATTCAATGTGGATCAGACAATTATTGAAAGTAACAAATCTAGTAGATTCCCAATTGATATATTCCCCAATTTCCATGAATTAATTATACAAATTAATTTATTAATACAACTAGGGTTTTTCCCAAAATTACCAAAGTACCCCCAACATATCAAAATACTAAAACTTAGAACAAAACTTATAAGATGGAGTAGGAAATCCCTACCTTGAAGAAAATAACCCGAATGGAGAAAATGGAGATGAAGACCCAAATTCCAAAGTGCTCCAAACCACCAAACATTCAGATTAAATGAAAGCCCTCGACTCACTCTATCTTTTTAATAAAGGATCTGGGGTAGAAACACACTCTAAATAGATCAAACCTAAGAGAGAGAAGGTGTGTAGAGGGAGAGAGAACTCGTACTTAGGGTTTTGGAATCTGAAAGTGGATAAAAAACTGATCTGAAACACGCTGCTGCCTATTTAAACCTGATAGGCTCGCTCGAGCGAAGACTTGGTCACTCGAGCGACCAGACACACGAAAACCTCGCTCGAGCGAAGAAAAGCTCGCTCAAGCCAAGAATGCAATGCTTCAGGTCTGCAACCCAGAAGCACGCTCGAGCGACAGAATGCTCGCTCGAGCGAGGAACTCGAAAAACAAACACCTCGCTCGCTCGAGCGAAGAAAATCTCGCTCGAGCGAAGAAACACTGCTCTCAGGTCTATACTGGACGCAATCGCTCGCTTGAGCGAAGAAAAGCTGGATCGGGCCACCAGACACAAAATACAAGCCTCGCTCGAGCGACCAATCCCTCGCACGAGCGACCAACCCAAAAACTGGACAGCAACACTTGGTTTACGAACCCAACCAACCTGAAACAAACCTGCCCAACACATCCTATAACTCCAAATGAGAAAATAAAGGACGACAACAACAAATATACAATGACTGAATAAACGGAACCCAAGTCCGGTTACAATAATCAAAAGGGAAAACACCGGGGTCGCTATAATTTACATGATAAGATTTGACATTATGTATACACTAGGGCTGTCAATGGATCGGATTTAACCCGAATCCGATCCGAATCCGATCCGATAATCCGAATCCGTTTAAAAAAAATCGGATCCGATAATCCGAATCCGTTTAATCCATTTATTAAATGGATTGAATCTGCAAAAATTCGATCCGACCCGATAACCCGATAATCCGATCCGAGTATTATCAATTTGAATGAAAAAAAAACACAAAATGAAAAAAAAATCAAATTATATAAAATTATAGCTCAATAAATAAATAAATGGATCGGATCGGATTATCGGATCGGATATCCGAAATCATCGGATTCGGATTCGGATATCTATAATCGGATATAGACTAAACGGATTCGGATCGGATTCGGGTTTGACATAATCGGATTCGGATTCGGATTTTGACAGATCCGATCCGAATCCGATCCATTTACAGGCCTAGTATACACACGTGGAAATAACAGGACTTGATAATATTTGTATTTTTCATTTCATTTCCAAAATAACATCATTTCTTCATAATGCCAAGAACACATGATCAAAGGAGGACAATTAATTAATTGGTATTTAAGATATGATTATGAATGCTTCACAACATCAATAATGTACACCATCAAAAAATATTGATTTAAGTTTTCCTCTTGTATTTGGTTCTTCATCAATAAATATTTCTTTTGTTGATAAAAAAAAAAATAATAATGTACACCATCAACAATTCCAAAGTTCATCCAAATATACACATCACCAGCATGTATCTGTTAATACATATCAAATATTGTCCCTTTTGATCAATTGCAATAAAAATTCAATGTGGATCAAGCAATTATTGAAAGTAACAAATCTAGTCGATTCCCAATTGATATAGTCAATTTTACTGCTATAAAACTGTTTTTGCATATGATTATTTTTAAAAACAATTCACTAGTTATTAAAAATGTTAATTTTTCCCTCACATTTAAAAAATTACATCCCATGCCTTGCGGTTTTTAATCATATAATAAATGGCCCCTCCCTTTTATATTTGTAATTTTCAAAACGTGAGAATTTTTTTTAGAATCATTAACAAGTAAAACAAGTAGGCAAGATTATAGCGATCCCGGGTTTACCCTTGTTATACCGTGATCCGGACATGTATCCGTGGATGTTGGTAGTTGGAACGTAATAAGATTAGGGAGAATCAATTCGTTGTGAACAAGAGTTGGAGATCATATCTACACGGTGGTGATTGTTACAATATGGTTGAGGTTGCAGGAGAATTGAAGTTAGAACCCATAGGGAATATTGACGTGAAGATACTAAATTTTTTGGGCATCTCCAGCTTTGGATCCAACGGAAGCTCAACTGTTACGCTTTCAGGCTTCTTCTTAACTAGAAGGAAGCTTCCTTTACAGGTCTCTCTCTCTCTCTCTCTATAAATAAAAATAAAAATAATAAAAAATTGTAATGGTTAAATTATGGTTTCTTTGGTACAGGGATGTCATGAACAACATATATTTTACGCTTATCTTCCGGGAAGCAAGATTCCAGCTTGGTTTAGTCTTAAAAATACAGGATCATCAATATCTGTTACTGTGCCATCGAATTTCAGAATTCAAGCCTTGAGTGTGTGTTCTATGTATGCACTTTGCAATAATCCAATACGTCGTAGATTTAATTTTAGCGCACATACTATTATCAGTAATATGACCAAGAGTTTGATATGGAGTCATTGTCCGAAAGTCTTTGGCATTCCAGAAGCTGATGAGGATATGATGTGGTTAAGTTATTGGAAGTTTGAAAATCAGCTGGGAGGTGGGGATGAACTGAATATTTCTGTGGTTGGAGATAAATCTTTTCAAGTGAAGGAGGTCGGAGTCCATCTTGTGTACAAGGAGCAAGAAGAGAAGAGTAGCCAATCAACTAGTGAAGAAGCATCCCAATTACAATTCTCTCTCTATGGAAATGTCGTTCCT